TTTTATTTTTGTTAAGAGAAAGTACTCATAATAAATCTTATTTTGCATTGTCAAAAAAAACGTCAACATTTCAAATATAAATAAGCAAATTATTAACTGAAAAAATTTAAATATTATTATTAATGAAATAATGGACTTGGACAATGGACATATAAAAACTAGCACCGTAGACGGCCGTCGGAGGAGCTAGTATATATATATATAGAAAATGGTCTAAAAAGCTTGCCTGACAGTCTTCAATTCGTTTCTAAGTCGACCAAAAGTTTTTCCACAAACTTTTACAACTAAGTCAGTTGCAATAGTAGAGAATGATTTTTCGACAAGTCTCTTAAGATAGTAGAGTTTGTTGTTGAAAGTTAGTAATACCCCTGACGAGCATTTGTCCAGTCAAAGAAAAAGTTGAAGAGTCGTAAAGTGCAAATATATATATATATATATATATATATATATATATGTGGAGAGAGAGAGAGAGAGAGAGAGAGAGAGAGAGAGAGAGAGAGAGAGAGAGAGAGAGAGAGAGAGAGAGAGAGAGAGAGAGAGAGAGAGAGAGAGAGAGAGAGAGAGAGGGAGAGAGAGAGAATAAATGATAAAACAGTAAAGTTCACTAAAGTCGATTGAAACCGAGGATGACCTAAAAATAAATCCCTTAAAAAAACAAGAGGGACATCTACTGCGGGAGCATTAGGAAATTTTTGAACAACTTTTCAATTTGCTATGAGGCATTCTTTCGGATACGAAATACTTCCCAATTCATTGGATTTTCTGCTTCAGTCAACCGTGATAAATTTGGAATCCCAGAAGAGGCAGTGACGTTTTAAGCGAAATCACGTTTCCAAAGGGAGCCAATAAAGCCTTTTCAACCCTTCCAGAACGAATTCCTCCCTCTGAATAAAAATCTTCAAACGTAAGGATTGCTGAAGGAAACCCTTATTGGCTTTCTCAAATTGCAATCAGGGAATCCAATCGAAAAATAATGTTTAAGGCATGAAAATACTCAGTTTATTAAATATATATAACTATTTTACTAATTTATTTCAATAATATTTTTCAAACACTTTAATATCTCTTCTTCTAAATATGATAAATGGTAGTATTATATTATTTCACCCGACATTTCTGATTATTTCAGCAATTATATATTATGTTCAAAAAGAAAAATTAGTATCAAATTGAATTTTAAAGGGAGATATTATTTTCGTGAACAAAATTATATGGGAATAACATCTGGCAGAGTTGCTTTTAAAGTTCATGGGCTAGAACGTGACATGGAAGTACTTGGAACAACCTTCTTGATTCAATCCTGTAATCTGCCTTTTCGCAAGACGAATTCACCGATTGTGCACTAAGTCATATAGTGACACATTTCACATAATTACGCACTGATAATTCTCTTCTGCATCTTACTGAGAAATTAATTCTACATTTCAGAGTCTTTCAAAATTATTACATTTATATTAAATTTATAACTTACTTTAATAATGAAATAAAATTTTATAAATGTTTTTCGATCAGCATAATAACAACGTAAATCTTGCGATCAGTTTTGTTCAACATTTTTAAAGCACTACTTTAATTTTAAAAAGTTTGCCACTTACATAATATAATTAGCGCTCTTAATGATAGAACGGTTAAGTGGACAGACGACAGACGCTTTTTGGCATATAATTTTATTACTATTTTTTTATTGTTATTTTGTAATTTTAGTCTGTTCTTTTTCTCTCTCAGATTTCACGATTCTCTGCACAGGATCAGAAATCATTTTATTGAAAGAAGAAAATAATTAATGTTTATTTAATGCCTTTCAAAAATAAAAATTCTGAAAATCATAGTTTGAAAACATTTTATAAATATTCATATATTCTTTTTCATGTGATGACAATGTAACAATTGTATCAACTGAATTGATATTTTCAATTTTGTTTGATAATAACAGGCATCACAGTACCTTTTTCTCAAAAATGGTGAAAAGAGGGATTTTTTTCCTCAAAAAGGGGACAAAAATTTATTTGTTTATACAACTTGCATATATAATTCAAATTTTTTATCATATAGCTTCCATAACATTTTTTGAAAATGATTCGATTTTAATCAGAGTTGCCTTCTTTTTCCCTGATTTCCAGACAAAATTTTGACTTTTTTCCTAAAGAATATTCTGCGATTCACTCTAAAAATGATTAGATACTGAAAAAATGTTTTATTACATTTACTTACTAATTTCTTTAACTGTTAAATTATTCGAAAACAGCAATAACTTCTTTTTTAAAAAAATATTTTTTATCCCACATGCACAAAAATGGCGCTTTTAGATAGCTGACGACAGGGAGTAAAGTCACTTATTTGTTCGACCATATGAAAATGGCGTCCATTTTCTCCCATGTGCAAACATAACCGCTGATCCCATGCGATATTTTTGCCCAAGGGAGAAAACGGCCGCCATTTTCATATAAGTCGAACAAGTGACTGACTTTTATTCTCTGTCGTCTGCTATCTGAAATCGCCACTTTTGTGCATTAGGAATAAAAAATATCGTAAGTAACATGGGAATAAAGGCAGCCAATTTGTTTACGATGTTTTTTGTGACACTCGTTCCGGTCTCGGGGCGCCCTCGACCTCCACTCGTGTCACAAAAATCACCGTCAACAAATGGCTGCCTTTATACCCTTGTTGCTTAATATACTATTATTATTTTTCCATAGGAATTAAGATTTTCAAAACATTCAAATTCAAATATTTTTGATATTTAAAAATGTTTTATAATAATTAAAGGTGACCGAGTGATAAAATCATTATTTTTTACTATAAAAAATATTTTTACTGTAACTTCTTGCAATTATTATTTTCTAGAATTTTTAACTAACATTCTTCTTTAAATCAATTATTTACAATAATTTTTTTAAAAAATTCTGAGAATTTTCAAATGTATTTGTTTACAATTCAATTTTACGAAATTTCATCGATTATTCAGAAATTCTTCAATTAAAATATATATATTTGAAAATAAAAACTTCAAATAATTTCAATTAAACTTTTTGAAAAAAAATAATTCTACAGAATTTTTAGTTAAAAATATGATAAATTCAAATTTTCAAAGATTTCAATTTGAAACTTTTTCGAAATTCAATTATTTCTAAAAATTCACGCCATAATGCTTTTAATATTTAATTATGTAAAATTTTAACTGAAATTCACTTAAATCAATTTCTATTAGAAAATTCTACGAGAATTCAATTAATTGAATAATTGAATGTTTCTGAATATTGAATTCTCATAAAGAATTTTATTAAAAAATTTTTAAATAATTTAATTTTTTCGACGAATTTTAATAAAATTTTTTTATAATAATTACATTTTTCAAGGTATAATAATTCAAATTGTACAAAAAATAATTGAAATTCTGCGATGAGATTGATTATTTATGAAAATAATGGAATTATTGCCATGAAATTTATAAAAAATTTGTAGATTAATAATAGAATTCCTGTAAAATTATTTTATTATTTATGAAAATAATTGAACATTTGCGTAGAATTTTGAAAAATTTTTTTTTAAATAATTGAATTCTTTTGGAAAATTTTATTAAAATATATTGATTATCATTAAATTCAGGAAAATTTTTGCAAATAATTGAAATTTTTCCAAGAATTTTATGAATATTTTTGAAAATAATTTAATTTCGAAGAAGAATTTTATTACTTATAAAAAGAATTGAAATTTTTACGAGAATTTCTTAAAATTTTTGAATGTAATCGAATTTCTACGAAGAATTTTATTATTTTTGAAAATAATTTAATTTTTGCAATTATTTGAAACGTCTCCAAAATTCAAATTTTTTTGGGTGTTTTTAACTAAATTTCCTCGTTAATTTCTTTATTTTTAAAAATTAATTAAATATATATATATTAAAAAATTTAACTAATTTCAGAATAATTTAAATTTTGAAAATTTTTTCAAAAATTTAAGTTCTTTAGAATTTTTAATGAAATTCATTCAAAATTGAAATTTTATTAAATTTGAAATTAAATCTTTTAAAGTTCATCTATTTATGAAAATTGTAAACGAAACTATGTTAAAATTCAATTAATTTTGAAATGTATAAATAAGATTTTAAATTATTCATTAAGTAAATAATTTCTAAGTTATACCTAATTTTATGATACAGTTCTTCAAGAATTAAGTTATTTAAAAAAGAATTATTGTCAGAAATGGAAAACGCTGAAATTTTTGTATTAGAATTTTTGTTTTTGTAGAAAAAACTATTAATAATAAAATTTGAATTATTTGAATGTTAATTATTTTTCTAGAGGTCTGATGCATTCTGTTCAATGAACCACCTTATAATTTATAAAATTCTTTACGATATCTATATTATTTAAATCATTAACATAAAAAAACATATTTATATTATGTTGTCGTGTTAATAATCTAAATCAGAAATAAAACGCACTAAATTCTATAACATTGATTTTAAATTTTATGATTACACTTTGAAAAAGATTTCAAAAAAAAGAAAAACTTATTTAATTTTTATTAGAAAAAGGTGAAAAAGGGGACAAATCGTCAAAATAGTTGAAAAAGGTGATAAAATTGAAAATAAGGGGACAAAAGGGGACCAACTGTGATGCCTGATAATTAAAAAAATAAGTCTTCTCTTATTAATAAGAAAATAACAAATAACCAATAAAGCAAACATAAACACCTTCTTCAAAATCTACCTAAGTTTCCAGCATTATAACTTTTGACAGAAATTAACTTAGATGAGAAGTCTTGACAAAAAGAAAAAAAAACTGGAAAATATGTAAATGTAAGATGTAGGGAGTGAGCCAATACATGTGGGAAAAATTGTCTGAACAGGGCAGAAGTCTTTTAGTCAATTCAGCAAGTTGGAATAATTCATGTCTAGAATCGAGTAAATGTGCTTTTTAAATCACGCGAATGGAATAATTTGTAAAGTTTCGCTGAAGTTTGAAGCAAATAAAAAAAATGTTTAAATAAAAACTCACCACGAGAAGAATACATCGATTCTCGGACGTGACGCCTCCACAACCGAGCCAGCTTCCAATTACGGCGAGAGTACCAGCAGCTATCAGCGCGTAAGCCAAAATCGGATACGTAGACGTTGCCATTAGTGAAATGTAACTGTGTTTTGACACAACAGTCCACACACCAATGCCACCAACCACCAGACCGGAAAGCTAAAACAAACAAAGGCCACCGGTTATGCACACATTTTGAAATATTCTAGAATAGGATTACATGCAGCAAATAAAACGTCAGTGAACTCGCGGGAAACAGCTTCACATTTTTCACTCGAAAATATTAAATCACAATCAAAACGATCGAGCTTATATACGTTCAGTTTTTTTTAACTCAGACGAGTTCAATATTTCACCATGACTCTTCGCACCGCGGCAGAAATGCTTTTTTCAATGCCAAAAATTGCATCGAAATAAAAGAAATATTATTTTCTTATATTAGGAGCTTTTAACACTGTTCTTTGTTTTCCTTGCACTGAGACAAAAATGCTATTAAATCTATAGCACGCATATTCAAAAACTTTCAAAAATAAATGCGATTAATTTGAAGTAATATTTGTTTAGTTTATAGCACTGGTATTGAAGGGTGAATCTCTCAAAAAGAGCAAATTCAAAATTAAGATTAAATAAAAAATAAAAGTATCAAAAACATTGATATAACTGTTCCTATAAGAAGAGGAGGACTATATTATTAAGTCTCTAAAATACGTTGTTACCATGTTTATGAATTTTAAACTTTATAAAACAATTATTTAATATTTAATAATGTTTCCTTATTTTGCAAGTACAATATTTGAATTAGTTTAAAAGAGATGTTACTCAGGGGTTTTTGGAGTCGATGATTACAAATCTGCTAATAGTTTTTCAAAATTCAAAATGTCTGATCCATTAAGGAGGACGAATTTTAAAAATATTATTGGATATGCTTGAAAATGGTGTATATGTTATAGGTTCAAAGACCAAAAACGCTCATTGAGTGAAAATATAGTCCACAACCTGTTGTGGCTCCTTCAATTTGTCCACAACGCGAAATTCGTGTTGTGGCATGACAAAAAGTGTTCAAAACGCGTTGTGGTGATTTGAAAAGGGCCACAACGCGAAATTCTCTTTGTGGCTGCTATAATATTCGGCCACAACGCATTGTGGTAATTAACCCATTAATGCCCAAATGACCAAAATTTTTACTTTGACTTCAATACACGATTTGAAGTATTTATAAACAATAAATTTTAGCAGCAATTAAATGTAGGGGGTTTGGGAAGTCGCTCTTTCAGATTCTGGGGTCAAAATAGCGATTCGATCAACACAAAATCCAATATGACGGCTATTTTGAAAAAAAACCCAAAAAAAGTACATTTTTTTTAAAAAAATTTTTTTTCAGATCTAAAAAAATTTTTTAAACCTTTCTTAAGCTATTCTTATTTCAAGATGGCGGAATTAAAATTTTGAAAAAGTAAATGCATTATAGTAAAAAAAATTAAAATTTACACCAACATTCAAAAAGTTTGCAAATTCGATTCAAAATGTATACTCAGGGGTTTTCGGGGTCGCTGATGACGAACCCGATGTCAGTTTTTCGAAATTAAAAATGTCGGATCCAATATGGCGGACATTTTTTTAAAACAATTTGGATTCGCTTGAATCCAATGGAATTTCATTTTTTGCTCTCTCTCTTTATAGCTGTTCTATGAAACCGGCATTTGTAAAATTTGTTCTACTAATTTTATGATCAAAATAAATTTTCTTTAAAAATGTCCGCCATATTGAATCCGCCATTTTGAGTTTTTAAAAACAGACATCGGACTCGTCATTAGCGACCCCGAAAAACCCCGAGTGATAATTTTCAAGCGAATCCAAAATTTTTATAAAAAACCCAGTAAAAAAGGATTTTTTAATATAGCATTTTGGACGATTGAGCAAGCCGTCTGCTCAATTGTCCAAACGGCATTTGGACAATTGGACTGGTTGCTCAATTATCCGATGCATTAGGTCCAATCATCCCAAATGTTTTTCGTGGCTAAAAAACTGCTGAATTAAGAAAAAAAGTACTGAAATGTTACAGAAACTTTAGAGAATTCTTAATTCCAGACAAATACAGAAAAATTAGGTATAAAAATACCTCGAGTGAGGAAAAAGAACAAGATTTCTAAAATATCACTTTTTAACTGACAGTGCAATGCTGTACTTGGAATTTAGTTGGCAAAGAAGTGAAAATTCTGATAAAGAGAAACACTTCATTATCCACTCTCAATACTCCTCATGTGGTAATATATTGTATAGATTTCGGTTTCTCATTTTAAAAAAGAGATAACTCAGCAAAATAAAATATTATTGTTAATTCACTATTATTGAAAATCTACAAATATACATATTACCACATGAGGAGTATTGGGAGTGGATAATGAAGTGTTTCTCTTTATCAGAATCCTCACTTCTTTGCCAACTAAATTCCAAGTACAGCATTGCACTGCCAGTTAAAAAGTGATATTTTAGAAATCTTGTTCTTTTTCCTCACTCGAGGTATTTTTATACCTAATTTTTCTGTATTTGTCTGCAATTAAGAATTCTCTAAAGTTTCTGTAACATTTCAGTACTTTTTTTCTTAATTCAGCAGTTTTTTAGCCACGAAAAACATTTAGGATGATTGGACCTAATGCATCGGATAATTGAGCAACCAGTCCAATTGTCCAAATGCCGTTTGGACAATTGAGCAGACGGCTTGCTTAATCGTCCAAAATTCTATATTAAAAAATCCTTTTTTACTGGGAATGTCCGCCATATTGGATCCGCCATTTTGAATTTTGAAAAACTGACATCGGATTCGTCATCAGCGACCCCGAACGTATGGACTTTTCATCCGAAGTTTTGAAGTTATGTTTTACTTCTTGATCTGTTAACATTGATCTTTTAGAGAACATATTGGGTCTTAATTTGGGAGTTTCGACCTAAAAAGTAGTAAATCGTCTATTTTTTGGTCTCAGTGCGAGTATAAATTTATTGAAGTAATTAACTTGTATATTCGATAATTTTTGAAATAATTATATTTTTATTCATCAAAAATGATTTTTGAAATAAGATGATATTCGTGAATGCAATCCGAGCATATATAGTCTTAAATTTCGAGGTGCATCTCGATAAAAGTTTAAAAAACGAAAATAAATAAAGCAGAAAAAGGGGTTCTGTAATAAATAAGAATTTAGAGATAACAAATAAGCGGTGTAATATCGCGAACACGAAAATATCAAATGTATATATCGATATCTTGGGAACACATCCGGTTTGAGCATTGTTTTTTAAAATCGAAGTAAGACCAAAGACCCCGAGGGAGTGTGTGAGGGCATAAAGTAATCTCGAGAACGTAGAACTTATGGCGGCGTAAATATTGTTCGATGGGATTTACGATATCGAGCCAAGAATTCCTTGAGATATACAAGCGCTAGTCTCTTGTGAATCGCACCTGAGGGAAAATAATCACAGAGGTAGTGTGTCGTCGCGTATTAGACAATATGAACATCCTTTTCATCTTCACTCTTCTACCTTCAAGATCACATTTTATTTTTCATTATTGCGCACGGTAGGCTTTTGTCTTTGTTCTACTCATCTATTCATATATACCGTTATTTGTTTGTAAATAATTAAAAAATCATTTTTCATTCTGGCAAACAGTTGCTTCATATTAACGTATTTTTAAATCAAAAGGCAATTAGTATAATTAGAAAGTGTTTCTGAAAAAGTGGGAGCGCAATTTTATGTTTTGTGACAAGTAATTTTGCATGAGACGTTCCGCTGAGCTTTGCTTTTGCTTTCAATGCCATATTACAAAACTTATTTAAAAATCCTAAGAAAAACTTTCGTTAAGCTTAAAATGTCCATCTCAAGGAAAAGTTTACACCGGAAGCTCGAGGGAAGCTTAGAAATATTCCATTCACACAGAGAAATGTCATTAAAAATTTCTAATTTCAGTTTTAGTAATTTAGTTTTGATCCACAAACTAGTCTACTTTTGCATGTTTTAGATGAATACGAATCTGGCATCAGATATTCAAAATGAAGGATCCAATATGGAGGACATGAAAATTAAAATTCGAACAAATTTTCTTAAAACTTTCTACTCGGGGATTTTTAGAGTCGCTAAAAACGAATCTGATATCGCAGACTTTCAAAATTCAAAGTGATGGATACAATATCCCATATGTAGAAATTTCCTTTAGTTATTCTTATCAAAAATTAAATTCTAGTAGGATTCTTGTAAGGGAATATTTAGGAAAATGGATTGGCTACGGGAATTTATGTGATGCTCAGATCTTGCAAAAATTGCATTACAAGGAAATCTAGTAACAAGAACCCCACAAGAACCTTTTAAGAAATACTATTTTTCATCGTTGTTGTTTAATTATCATTTTAGGTTATTAATAAATAATTTATTAATATAAATAATAGAATTAAAAAAGTTATAAAGAAAAAATAGTTATTATCTGTATTATTAAATGAAGAAAATAAATTAAGTGTAAAAATAATTACAAGTAAGTAGTAACAAAGCAACAAAAATAGAAGAATTAAAATTTTATTACGGACACTTTCTTGGACATCGAATAACTATATAATATAGTTTTTTATTATTATATATATATCGCAAAAACGATGTACTATTAAATTGTAAACGTTCAATATCATTATCCAATGCATTTAAACTACTAATTAAAAAATATTACTCAAGTTCACATGAGTACAATAATTATATAGGTTATTTAAAAAATTAAAATCAATAGTTTGTTTCAAAACATTCAAATTTGATCTGATTCGCATAAAACTTGTTACTCGAGGGTTTTTGGGGTTGCTGATTACGAATCTCAGGTCACTTTAAAAAATTCAATATGGCGGATCCAATATGGCAGAAAAAATTGTCAAATTTGGTGCAATTCCCTTAAAAACTGTTACTCAAGGGTTTTTAAGGTCGCTGATTACGAATCTGAAGTCACGTTTTAGAAATTAAACATGGCGGATCCAATATAGTGGAAAATTTTAAAATTGATTAGATTCGTTTAAAACTCAATTTTTGGGGGGTTTATGGGGTCACTTTTAAGAAATTCTAACTTCATATTGACCTACAATGTAATTAATTTATTATTTTTACCAGTTTTAAGCGAATTAGATCAAATT